TCAGGAGAGACAACCCGAGAAACAACCCCCAGAAACAAGGGGCAGGATCACGTTCTCACCCCAAAACAAGAGTGTACAAGAGCTGTATATACCCTCGACGCTGTAACAATATGTAAAGAAAGACAAAATCACATCCAACAAGCATTTTGCGCATATCCACGCGGAGGATGAGGGTTCGCGAAGACCCCAAGTGCGAGAGTATAAGCTTCCCCAAGGGAAACTATGACGATCAAGATTTGCATACACACTATGATTCAAGCTTCTTATATACTTATTCTCATTCATACAGCAAACATGTCACGCAGTCTGCTCCGACCCCCCGTGACCCACAACCTCCTTCCCCTTCCCCTTCGCAAGAGGCAGATCCTCCGCCGCCGTGACAAAGGTATCCAACGGCGGCCTCATACCCTCATTCTCCGTTGGGACTTGGGTACTCGCCTGGGAAGCAGAAATCCCGTTCCCGTTGAGCTCCACTCCGTCAGTCGTCGCGCCTGTATCCGACCGGTTCAGCTGCGGCATGGGACTGATGGGCCGACTGTCGGCGCCCGACATGAGCGTCACCATGCTCGCCGTCTCGGCGTCCTTCTTGCCGAGACTAAATGGCAGCGCGATGCCGTCGAGGAAGGGCCGCTTGCCCGCGACGCCGGTGCCGCCGGGGACGAAATCTGGGCTCAGGTGATTCCCGTCGGCGGCGGCGGCGGCGGCGGCGGCCTGCTCGTTGTGCTTCTCTTGTTCTTTCCTCTTCTCGATGAGGGCTGCTACCGGTGTCGTTGTCGTCTCTTCAACTGCCGTGGTCTGAGACTCTTCCATCTGCGTGGAAGCCGGCGTCTCCTCCTCTTCCGTCTGATGCTCGTCCCGGACGAACCGCCGCTTGCTGCCCGTAGGCGAGCCGAGGGGCGCCGGATCCTGGTGCTCGATGTCCTCAAAGGACCTGGCTCCCTCACCGCCCCTGGGCGAAGTCTGCTGAGACTCCCGAGTTTGCTGCGACGTCCTGCCGGCGGCGGTGGCGGCGACAGCATCAGAGTCGGCCTTCTTTTCTCTTTTTGTCGTCGTCTCGTCGTGCTTGGAGCCCCAAAGCGACCACAGCGCCAGACCGATACTCTTGGTCTTCTTCCTGTCCACCAGCTCATCCGACGCCTTTCGTCGACCGGCCAGCGCCGTGGGCGGCGGCTGCTCGCCGTCGCCGAAATCCATGTACCCGTCCGCCAGGTCCCTGATGATGCTCTTGTGGACCTTGGCTTTCGCGCTCGAGAACTTCTTGTCAAAGGTGGCTTTGGTGTCGAGCCACCGCCTCACGGGCGTGGGCCTGACGACGCCGACCTCCTCCGACTTCATGACGCAGCCGTCCAGCTCGGATTCGGGAGGTAGGTCGGAGACGACGCCGCGCGTGGAGATCTTTTGGCGGATCATGTGCTTCTTGAAGGGCGGCAACGGCATGCCCGCCTTGCCCACCAGCTCGGGAGGTTGCCCCCCGCCGGCGTTGTTCTCCGTCTGGTTCTCCTCTTTATCCGAATCCGAGGTGGAGCTAGAAGAAATCGTGGAAATGTCGTCGTCGTCCAGGATCTCAATCTCCGTCTGCTGCGCCCTCGCCAGCGCCCAGGCGCCAAACTGCGCGACGGCGCGGTACATGTGCTTGGCCGGGCGTGTGAAGCTGAGTGTCGGGGCGACGTGGCAGAGGTCGTCCCAGACCTGGAGCTGCACGTCCGTCGGCTTGTACTGCTTCAGCTGCGCCAGCCCGGCGTCGTCGAGACCCGGCGGCGGGTACTTGGCGGGGTTCGCGCACTTGTGTGCCACGTAGATTTGCTCGTCGCGGAGGACCTCGCCGCCGCCCACCATGATGAGGAGCGGCGGGAGGCCGCCCAGCGTCGGTTGCATTACCGGGCTGACCATGGGATGTGAGAGTAAGGCATTGGTCGTGTACATCTGGAAAGGGCTATTAGTATATCATGTGAGTGGAGGAAGCTCCCCTAAGAAGACTTACTTGGATTTGGTCCTTGACTGTGGTAAGCTTCCCGTCAATGGTGACGGAAAGCTGCAAGGCCGTCTTTGTGGGGTCCGCGTTACCAGAAGAGTCAGAGGTGCCCCCCAGCGTCTCGTTGCCGTCGCCCAGCGCGATGGGCGCTGCCTGCTTCTTCTCGAGAGTGTTAAGCTTCGTGGCGCTCTTCTCCTTGCCCGCTCGCGCCTTAATGGCCTGCTCCCTCATCATCTCCATATCGTCCTCGTTCGGCGGCGGCCAGGCCCGGGATGGTTTGTGGTGGAAGCCGGACGAGGGGATGTAGTCCATCTGGTTATCTCCCGAGACGCTGGGGAACGAGTGCGTGAGGTCGACCCAGGGGCTGATGAGGACGGCGCCCGCGGGTAGGGGAATACCGCGGTCTCGCAGGATACACAGCATCGAGAGCACCATACCGCCGCCGGCCGAGTCGCCGGCCAGGACGATCGTGGTCGGGTCCTGGACGGTGAGGAGATAGAGGTAAGCGGCGAGACAGTCCTGGAGGCCGCAAGGGAAAGGGAACTGCGGCGCGAGGCGGTACCGGGGTGCGAGGACCCTCGCCTTCAGCTTGCGGGCGTGCCGCTGCATCTGGTAACGGTGCTCGTCGACGCTGCCGAAGAAGTAGGCGCCGCCGTGGACGTAGAGCATCACCCTCTTCGTCGCGCCGCCGTTCTTCTTGCGCTCGTGGTAGTCGGCGCGCATCTCGATCCACTCGGCCTTGAGGGGGCTCTGCGGCTTCCGCCACTTCCACCATTTGCAACCCCCTACGGCCCGTACGCCTCGGGGTCCCAGTTGGGCCTCGATCAGGCCGGCCGACTTCTCGAGCTCGGTCTCGGGGATCTCGACGTCTTCGACTTTGACCCATTGCGGGTGCGGGACCCATTGGGCTGTAAAGGCTTGGAGCTCCTCGACGGTGTGGTGGGAAGCGAATTCGAGGAAGGATCGGACGAGGTGCAGGCCTTCATCGTAGGATAAGTGGGAGTTTGGTCCTTGCTTTGAGGCTTTTCGATTGAGGTACTGTTGTGAGATTGAGAATTAGTCAATTGCACTTGCGTACATGGTCATTGAGCTGTAGCTATCGCGGTAGGGGTTGCATTGCGTATTCTGTGACGAAATAAATCCGGGGCAAGCTGGATTCAGGGACGACCTGACGCGGTTTGTGTATAGGGGATTCGGGAGAGACTCACATGTGAAAAGAGGGTGGATACGACGGTTGGCGTGACCGCCAATGACACCGACGTGGTGTTCAGCTTCAACGGATTCATGATTTCTCTCTCGTGTTCAGTCCAGTCCAGTCCAGCCCGGCCCTCAGATCAGAAACTGAAGGGAGCAACAGAATCTTCCTCCCCTTGGACGGTGGCGGGGGATCTCTTGGCTTTTGAAAGCTTCCTCCCCCTTTGACGAGTTGGTGGACGATCCTATATTGTTTGTGGAACAGACCATCATGTTCGCTTCGAGGGAGCCCGGAGCGGGAAGCACAGAAGAAGGCCGCAACCCTGAAACTTCCACACCCCAGAAGGCTAGAGCTCACTACCGGAATAGGGGACCGATGACATCACTTGCAGCGCCCAAGTGGATGAGCCAATGTCCGCTGGGCCTGGTCAACCGGCCGTAGCTTCATCGCCAGCTGCCGGGATCATGAATAATGAGCTGGTCTGGCTGCCAAGATATGCAGTGCTCTCTCAAGATGAGTTATTGAGATTTAAGCGACATTTCAGACGTAGGCAATTGAGCAGCTTGCACGTGAGGTCAGGTAACGGGGAAGCTCAGGTTCCTTTTCAGGTGTTTTCAGCTGCCCTGCCCGTACGGGGCCCTGGCACACGCCTGGCACACGCCTGGCTAGACCCGAAAGCGGGACCGGGATAGGGTGGGTGGCCGTGGAAAACCCCACACAGCACAACCGACAGTGCAAATCGTCGCATGCACTATCCACCATACAGGGGAAGCGGGAAAAAAATTGTGATCTGGAAATTTGGCAACGAAAACTGTCACCGCACCCCGAGCCAGAATCTGCCCCTCCATAACTTTTTTGATACCCCGCGAAATAGCAGCATCACCAAACAATGGCGACCACCGCCCCCATCACGGCAGGCAAGTTCACGATCTAAACACGCTGATGCCCAACATCTCTACAACATTGAAAATCCTAACACCCGAAAATGTAGAGGCCTGCCAGTCAACCTTTGAACAAGCCGTCGCCCTCTCCCTCCACATGTGGCCCGCCCTCACCCTCGCCGTCCAAAACCACTGGGGCGGCCCCGACTCCGCCGACAAACGAGACTGGTTCGCCGGCGCCGTCGCCGACATCTTCCCAACTTTCACAAAAATCACGGCCGCAGGCCAGGCAATGCCCGCCACGGCCGCCGCCGCCGCAGAGGAGCCCGACACGGGTTACGTCGAGACCATGCTGCTGCAGGTCATGCTCGACGAGTTCGAGGTCAACGTCGACGATGAGACGGGCTACGACGTCGCCGAGCAGATTGTCAAGCTGCGCGCCGAGTGCGCCAAGGGAAACTTTGCCGCCGTCGACGAGCTGCGCACCAAGTGGGAGAGCCGCAAGGGCGCCAAGGTGGAGGGCTTGTATAAAAAGGTCGAGGCCGGCGACCAGGATACCGATTGGGAGGACGACGACAGCGAAGACGACGACGAGGATGATGTCGAGATGGACGATGCGCCTCAGCTTGTGCGTGCGCCAAAGGAGAAGCAGGAGCCCGAGGTCGACGAAGACGGTTTCACCACGGTCACCAAGAAGAAGAGATAAAGGATTTTGTCATATGAGCAAAAAAGAAAAGAAGCGAAGACAGAGAGAGAGAGAAGAAATACCCCCTCCACCACCGCGACTTTGGTTTCTCCAAACAGCAAATGCTTCACAAAGGAGCCCCGCGTGGCTGATGTACAAATGTCCGCATAATTAAGAGCTTGCCATTCGAGCCAGAGAGAGAAAAAACAATCCAAAAAACCCATCCCAAATTCAACGCCAGTCAGCAAAATGTAGACGCTCATACTACTACTCCCAGTCATCGTCACTATCGTCGGCCTTGCGGGAGTCCTTGGGGCTGTTGGGGGCTTGGCTGGGGACGCCAGAGGTGGCACCGACAACGTCGTAGCTGGTGTCACTGTCGGCCTGGGATTTTTCGTCGTTGGACTTGCGTGACTCGGCAGGCTTCAGGGTGGAGGAGGTTTGGGCGGGAGGCTGGATGGTAGTGGAAGACTCGGCTGATGGCGGGCGGGCTTGTGTCTTCTCAGTCTTGGGAGCAGCGCCAGCAGCAGGGGTGGGAGTGGCGGCAGCGGCGGTAGCAGGAGCAGGGGCAGTAGTTGTGGTGGCCTCATCATCGGAGTCGTCATCCCAGCCGACTTCGTCCTCGGCAGAAGCAGCTGTATCTAGTTAGCAAACAGTTGGGGCAATCTAAGATATCCTTCACTCACCCTTGAGCAAATCGCGTCTTCGGGTCTCGGCAGCCTCCAGACCATGTCTGAGGAAGTAGTATCTTTTCCAGAACTCAGCATAGGGAACCTGGTCGGGCACGAGCTTCTCCATCGTCGTTCGCAGTTCGGGGTACTTGTTCAAGTCGTCGCTAATCTCTGCCGTCTTCTTTTCCGCGTCAAACGTCTTGGCCCAGGTCGCGAATTCCTCCGTGGCAGGGTCCTTTGCGAAGCTCTCGGTGCTCGTGTGGATGACGTGCAACTGGGCGTCTTGCCTCGAGGTGTGGATGACCCGCTTGCCCTGCGCGTCCTTGCTCTCGAACATGACGGCGCCGCCCTGGCTGTTGGCGTCGGTAGGCGGCGCGATGCTGACGGCCTCCTTTAGGAAGTTGCTGATATTGGTGCCGAAGCGGAGCAGAGCCTCGTCGGCGGCGTCCTCGGCCTTTTGCAAGTCCTTGAGCCGCTTGGCTGCCTCGGAGCGAAGCCTGGTGAGGTAGTTCTCGGAGCTGCTCATGGCGTCGTCGGAAGCTGCCAAGTCTCTGGTCTTTGTGGGCGTCGTCTGGCTGTCGGTCTCCTTGCTCCTGTCTCCGGAAGACTCATCTTGCGTCGTCGTGTTGACGGTGAGGGATCTCGTTCGGTTGATTATGGAGCTGAAGCCCTTGGATGCGTCCTGACCGAGCTCCGTCACCTCCTTGGAGGCTTCCTTGTAGACTTCTTGTCCCTAGCATCACCGGGTTAGCCGGCTCATTCCTGGATTCCCTTGGAGCTCTTATATGGTGTATCGCCTCACCTGCTTCACGGCACTTCCCAAGAAGCCACCGATGCGCATGCCCCAAGGACTGGACGAGATGGCCTTGTACGCCTCCTGCAAGTCATCGTTCAAAGATGACTGCGGCTGGTCGGATTTGGTGTCCTTGGCGTCGCCATTCTTCTTATCGGCATCCTTGGGGAGCGAGTTCTCCTGGATGTGATCGTACGCCAGATCCATGGCAAGGGCGGCAGAATCCAAGCTCCTTAGAGTTGACGACGCTGGTGGTGTTTATTTGGGTGGCCTTTCGGGGGAAAAGCCTATCGCGAGGCTAAAGCTGTGGTCTTTTCGTGTGGAGTGGAGTTTGAGGCGAAGTCGTGTGATGTGTAGACAGTTGTGGGCGGGCGAATGATGTCTGGCTTCTGACATGAGGCTGTTCTTTCCCTTCCGTTTCCCCCTGACGGGCGGGGTGGTGGACGGCTGCATGGTGGTCAATGCGGGGAGACAACAGTACGTCCACGTGTGGATCCCGGCGCGGCCACTGCCGGAACCTCTTTCGTTTCTGTGGCCTTTTGCGGTCTTCCATTGCCTTTTGCACCGTGGAAATGCGAGAATCGCTTGCATCAAGGCATTCCATAAAGCATCTCTCGTGTCTCACCCGTGGTGCCGCCGCACCCGGGAGCCAAGTACTTGCAGCGCGCAGCACGACCATACGCAGCCGGCTAACAATCAGCATATAAACGGTAGTTATGGAAACATTTCAAGGCGACCGTCAAGGTCATGGATAAGGCGGGACCTATGTTTCTGCACGAAGGGACCTGAAAGCGAACTTTTTTTGAGTTGTTGGTCCGCCCCTACCTTAACCCCCGCGCCGGGGACGGAATGACCTCAGCGCCAGCGCCTCCCAACCGGGACGTTGCGGTCCCTTTTCCGGGTTGCTCACCATGGAGCATGGAGGGCATGCGTGGGCACGCAACGGAGACGGCTGCGGGGATGGAATCCGGTCCCGTTGGTCTTATCTGGCTCCGTGGCGACTTGCAGCGGCGAGTGAAATACCTTGGGACAATATTCGTCTGATCGAACACTCTGTGCCGCCTCTTTGAATGGCGTGCTCCCAAAAACCCATGTAGTAGTGGCCGTGACAATCTTCCATCGTAGGAGGGATTGGCAGTGTGGCACATTAGATACACGGCAGCTCTTTACATCCGTTCATTAGGCAAGAAGGTACGGCAGGCTCAAGTGATCCCTCGGCGATAGTGTGCAGTTTCGCCGCACCCGCCTGAGCCTCGCGCATCTCGCTCCTTCGTGCCCTCCACTCCGATGTAGTACCTAGGTGGAGGGGGAGGCCAAGCATATTCGCAAAGTCCCGAGACGCGCAGTGTGCAGTGTAAGCTTTTCGGGCGGAGTAGCGTCGGGTCTAGACGCCCTCTTAGGCTGTGGCGATTTATGCAAGGAAAAGAGATGTAAGCAGAACTGACCACTTCTGGTCCCTGGACCAACAGTTTTGCTAAGGACCGCACTGCGATACAACAATAGACAGATATGGAAGGATGCGACGATGTGGGCCGTTTACAAGAGCTGTTGTCTCGTGCTTCTGCCGTAGGAGATGTGCGTTTCCTTTACGGATGTTTATATGTAAATTCCTGTATCTTGTGATAGCAGGGCCGAAACGGTGGGATGGTTGCAGAGACGTGTTCGCAGTGTCATTTGTCATCCCAGCATTGACAGCAGTATTCGTTCTTCTACTTCGTGCAAGTTTTCCCCTTGCTACCCTTGGAGCGGCACGTCCCACGAGATGGGTTGCAAGACGATCTTTTGAATTATCAAATCTAGGCAGCCACTTGTTTGAGCATACGCCCGCTGCATGGGATCTTTTGCGTGAACGGCTAAACAAGGCCAAGACGGTCTCGCGGCGAGCAAAGAATAGAGTTCCAGCCAGTCATCCCTAGTTTCCAAGGGACGGTACCTAAGAAAAGCGTAAAGTAGTGTACCTTTCTTTAGGTGTAGCTGCCAAGCTGGGTCAGAGTAGGGGAAGCGTAAGCCTCGACATGGGCTTCGCCTGTTGCGCCGGACGCACTCGGGGTTTGAACGGGGCTTACAGCGGGATAGCAGACTATCTTGGCAGATGTATCTGAATGACGGATCGACGGCTGTAGAGTCGTAGACGCTACCACGGCTACCTCCGGCGGATATGGACATATGCCGGATTTACAGCGACTGTGCGGCACGAAGCGGCTGCATAGGTAGCAAGCTCCCCAACTGCAGTGAGCACTGGAGCAGAGTCTGACTACGCAGTACGGTGGCAGGCGCGGAGGATGGCCCTGACTCATATCCAGCAGGTCGGGCGCGCCGTTTGAAGAATTGGCAGCCGGGTCTGGTTAGTGTCTTGGACTTTACGGGGAGAGAGGACCCATTTCCCATGGAAGATTGCAGTCGAGGCCAGCAGGCGGAGCTCGCCCTTGGCACTTGGCCGATGACTGAGGTTGTGACCCGCCACTCGCATTGTTACGCAGAAAGTGCTATACCCACGTCATGGGACAGATTGGGCGAATTTGGTATGGGCGAGTTCTGGCTAACTGGTGGCCGTTACGTTGTGGTGAGATACCAGGACGGCCTGGGCTCAGAACCTGCAGACTCGCGATGAAATCGATTGGCAACATCAGATGGGATTTGCTGGACTGAAGTCGGCCCTCGGTTGGATAATGTCCGTCCGTTGGGACCTCCACTGTCTGTGTAAGTCCAATCGTGCTCGCTTCCATCTTACCGGGCGGTCGTTGCCGTAGATATGTGTGTGTGATTGATTCCCCATAGTGATAGGTATAATAAGAGAGTGAGCAAGTTAAGGCCAACGGGGAGGCAGCAAGAAGGATGCGTGGCGAATGTTGTCCTTCTTCTACTCCGTACCTTACTCCGTACCCTGGAACATGGAACAGAACCCCTCGAGGCATCACCAGACTAGCAACCCCTGCAACAGTAGCGCGCGGTGCCGCGATCCCTCTTTCAGGGCGAGGGCAGCTCAGGTGGGCAGGTCCAAAAGACACAGAGTCGGAGTACCTCCGTACCGTGGAAGGGATAGGACCAAATGGAGGGCAAATGGAGGCAGATGGGGGGGAAGAGGAGTAAAAACATGGACAATTGTGCAACAGAAATGGATCTGTCGACGGCTAGATGATGCGAAAACGACACTGGCGGCACAGCTGCGCCCTTCGCCTTATCGGAGGCACCAGGTCTCGGAGCCAATAGATAAGCTTCAATCGACCCAGACTGGCCCCGTCACCCCCCCCCCGCTGGGACCCCCCGACCTCTCCCAGTTCTTAGTGTACATATGTACCTACCTACCTGCCGCAATACCTAGGTAGGCAGTACGTACTGTGGTTTCCGTACCTTCCCCCCCTCGGCCGACCCCCTCCATTTCCCCCCTCCCCTTGGGCCCTTCCTCCATTTGGCGTCCACGACGGCTGACAAATTGACACTGAAGAACGCTGAAATTCTTCCCCCTCTTCACCGTCTGCAGTCGTCCATTCAGTTCGATTCTCTCCACTTCCTACTCAGACGCATTTGCCGTCACCGCGAACCAACAACTTTTTTCTCACTACACCGCACACACGCATCACCGCACACCCTCTCCCCAAGCACGTCTTTTCTCCCGCTTTCCGTGGATTCTGGATCCTGCGAATTTTGTCCACAGAGCATAGCAGGTGGCCCTTGGAGACCGGCCTGTGAGTCAGGCAGCAACTTTGTCCCCGAAAGGCATCAACTTCCCTCCATCCGCATCCCACCCCAGCCAGTGTCGGACCATTGCATTTCGTCACCTCTCACCAGTCGGACCACCACTCCTACTTGAGGACGTTATACTATCCTTCTTCAACCTCTCCCTTGACGACGACGATCTCGACGTCCAAGAATCCCTCGGTCAAGGACCATAGGTGTCGCCAAGTCGAGTATTTCCTTGTCCTCTCAGACGACATCACCGTTCGATCCGGCCTATCTGGAATTCAACCCATTGTGACCCCGGCACCCTGAGCCGCAATCGGCATTCCGAGTTCGCCTCCTTTCATAGCCCTCTTGCACCAAATTGACTCCCGTTTACCTTACCTACACTTCGCCGCCCTCTCACACTCCTTTCGCAATGGCTTCCACTACCAACAGTGGTTTCCCAACCAACTTTATCTTGACCCCGCAGCAGCAGAGCCTGCTCTACGCCGCTCTCAACTCCAACAAGCAGCAGCTCGCGAACCAGTCCCCCACCACCAAGGATAACTCAATGTCGCCTTCCTCTTATCAGACATCGCCGGCGCAGGGCGCCGCCGCCACCGGTTTCCAAGAGAGTCCCTACCTCGACAACTACGACTACGACTTTGGTGACTCGAGCTTCGACTTCGATGTCAGCACCGTGGGCCAGGCCAAGATGATCGGCGACATCCCTGGTGGCGCTCAATCGGCCAAGTCAACCAAGTCCGACTCGACTGAGAATGATGGAAACGACAAGAGATCTCACCCTGACGACGATGAAGATGAGGATTCTCCAGGCAACGACGCAAAGAGACGCGAGGGTAGCGAGAAGGCTCCCAAGAAGCCCGGCCGTAAGCCGCTTACTTCCGAGCCGACCTCAGTAAGTTTCAACGATTATTCTAGTAATATTCATGATTCTAACACATCCAAGAAACGCAAGGCACAGAACCGCGCTGCGCAGCGGGCATTCCGTGAGCGCAAGGAGAAGCACCTGAAGGATCTCGAGACAAAGGTCGAAGAGCTTGAGAAGGCGTCCAAGGACGTTAACAGCGAAAACAGCCAACTCAAGGCAAAGATCGACCGCATGACTTCTGAGCTCAACGAGTACAAGACAAAGATTGCGGCCATGAGCACCCGCTCAGTCTCCCACAGCAAGTCCCCCATGGGCTTTGGAAACTCTGCCATTGGCAACCTCAGCGACGTCAACTTTCAATTCGAATTCCCCAAGTTTGGTGTCTTGCCCGGCTCTCAAATGCCCACCAAGCCGGCGCAGCCCGCAAGATCCTCCTCATCGCCTCTGCAAATGAACGGAAGCAACCCCGTCAGCCCTCTCAACCACACCAAGGACAACAGCCCTGGTATTATTGCAGGGCTTGACTTTGGTACCAAGGACGACCTGGCCAACTTCACTTCTCTCTTCAGCCCTTCGCTTGCCAATGGGTCATTGGGCACCAACACATCGCGCGCCAGTGTCGACTCTGGTTCTTACACCATGAACAATGGCACATCGACAAGTTCACCATCAGCGTCATCCCAGTCAAATGGAGGCCCCAGCTCGTCTTGTGGAACTTCCCCTGAGCCCTTCACTCAGTCACCTATGGGCTTCAAGCCTGTTGATACCATGACCACCATTGGAGAGGAGTCAACTGCACAGCAGTCATTGTTTGCCGGTATCGACACAAACAATTTTGACTGGCTTGCCCAGCAGAATGGCGGTCAATTTGATCCCCAGCTCTTTGGCGGATACCGCGAACCGCAAGAAAACATTCTCGCCGCAACTACGTTTGATGAAAGCTTCTTCAATGACGCTCTCGATGCCGACTTCATTACACCATACAACATGGCCCCCAGCCCCAACGTTCCCAAGAAGAATCTCATCGATCAAATCGACGCTGCCAAGAATGCAGACGATGATGTGGTTAAGGAGGCTGTCAAGGCCGAGAATTACAACTGCAACAAGATTTGGTACGTCACACCCCTGTCAGGCAATTACGAATCCGACACTGACAACTTTAACAGGGAGAAGCTTCAAACCTGCCCCAGTGTGCAGGCTGGCGAGTTCGATCTCGACGGCCTGTGCTCCGAGTTGCAGAAGAAGGCCAAGTGTTCAGGTCAAGGTCCTGTGGTTTCCGAAACAGACTTCCAGACTGTCGTCAATAAGTGGATGGGCAAGGACGCCGCCGCCTGCTTCTCGAACCAGGAGAAGAATACCCAGGCAAAGGCCTAAATCATCATCTCGACGTCTAATTGTACATTGGCATTCACGAACCCGGCAATAGGTCAGGCGGCCACGCCAGGAGGCATATCCGAGGAAACGGATGGGACACTTTGGGGAAAGCAGGCGTTTAATCACGGACCAAAAACAAAGGGCAAACTCGAGGCTGAAGTTTTGACCCCAACGGCAAAGGCGAATGGTTGTATTCATCCACATCGGACATCTAGAGATGGCCGGGGGGAGATCTGGTCTAGTGGTCAGGCGGACACCAGTCTGTACTGTACTTGGTTGGAGACTCCTCCCGAAAGAGAGATTGAGAATGGGTAAGGAGGCTATGATGATGAAATTCTAGGCAAGCTCAATTGGCTGTCTTTTTCGACGAGAAAGAAGGAACTTTGGTTTTCTGCAGATGTAATTCTTTTGCTACAGTGTTCGGCTAGTTTGGTTCGACAATGACGCACGAATAAGAGAATCTCCACATTGTGTTATTATATGTTGAAGTGCAAGTTACTGTAGTCGGCGAGAGCTGGAGCTGTATTTCACGCAACCCTTTTAGTCCTCAATGTTCGTTCGCGAGAGCTACGGTCGACATCGAGTCCGGATGTCCATTCGTCCACCGACATGAAAGCTACATCGTAAAGAAAGGGAGAGAGAAAAAGAGGCTGTTCACGATTCTATTGCGTCTCTACCGAGGCTCGCAACGCTTGTCAAGGGTCGTCTACCCTCGGCGCACGGCGCTCGGCCACGGACGAACAGTGACGGAGGCATCGGGAGTGGTTTGTGGGAGAACCTGGGTTTCCCGGGAAGGGTTGGAGGTTTTACCGGTAAGGAGGGCAGGGCGTGGCGGTTTTTTTTTTGTAATCCCGGCCCGCGAAGGCTGGGGTGCATGCTGTCGGCGGCGTAAATCTGGGTTTTGAATCGGATCCTTACGGGTGAAAGGTACGGACGGGGGGCAGCGCAGCACTAGCTCCTACCTACCCTTATCTATAAGTTCGGTACATGAATGTACATTTGTCTAGGTAAGGGTAGGTAGGTATCGAGGGTTGCGGAGGGAGGCGAACGCGGATATCAAAGTCGACATGGTATTTACAATTTCGGCATGCTTATTTTCTGCTCTTTGTTACTTCACTGCCTCATTGCCCCCCTCTCTCTCGCACTATTGCTCTCCCTTACTCTCACTCTTTCTTATCAACCTGAACCCCCCCTGGGCTCCCACCGGCCCCGTGTCTTTCTGAAGAGTCAGGACCGAACCGTTGCGGCGTATGTTTTGCCTTTGCCTGCCCAGAACCTCTTCCCCCGCCCCCCCCCCCCCTCCCCGGCACCCGTCCGTTCCCGCCCGCATCCCCATCCGTCTTTCCCGCATCCGATGAGTCGGGGCGTATCAATGAGGCGGGCAGGTAAAGTCAAGAAAGACATGAGAGGTAGGGCCGAGGGGAAGGGGAGAAAATATCGGTCGGCAGGCAGGAGCAGAAAAGAGTCGAGCAGAGCAGAGCAGAGCAGAGCAGGGACAGTGCCAAGCCCGAAGAGAGAAGCCCGAAGACAAAGCAGAAGGAAAAGGAATTTTGCGGACGGTCAGGAGTTACGGTGATGGGCTCTGGGCAGTTCAAACACCCAAAGTGCCCACTAACACCATACTGCGCACCTATCGAGCCTTGGACCTTGGACCTAGGGACCTGGGCAACGGCTCAAGGCAGGCGGCCAGAGACAGCCCCTTGTTGTACGAGTGTATGTGGTATGCGGTATAGGCTTTCTTGATAATTTCCCGTCCGCTTCCGTTTTGAGCGAGGACCGTTCTGCGTGCTGTGTGTGCTC